AGCATCATCAGCATCATCAGCATCATCATCATCATCATCATCATCATCATCATCATCATCATCACAATCAGCATCATCAGCATCATCATCATGATCATCAGCATCCTCGTCATCATCAGCATTGTCCTCATCATCATCAACATCAGCAGCACCATCATCAGCATCATCGGCATCACCACGAGCATCAGCAGCATCATCATCATCAACAGCATCATCATCAGCAGCAGCAGCAGCATCAGCATCATCATCGGTATCATCAGCATCAGCATCAGCATCATCATCATAATCAGCATCACCATTATCATCATCATCAGCATCATCATCATGAGCAGCATCATCAGCACCATCAGCATGATCAGCATCAGCAGCAACAGCATCATCATCAGCATCATCATAATCAGCAGCATCACCAGCATCAGTATCAACCTCATCATCGGTGTCATTGGATCATCAGCATCATCAGCATCATCAGCATCATCATCACAAGCCCCGGCATCATCGTCATCAGATTCATCGGCGTCATCATCAGCAGTTTCATCATGAGCACACTAATCATCAGTATCATCATCAGCATCAGCATCATCAGCAGCAGTAGCATCAACATCATCAGCATCAGCATCATCAACATCAGTATCAGTATCAACATCAGCAGCATGACCGTCATCTGCATCATCAGCCTCATCATCATCGTCATTATCATTACTAGCATCATCAGTAGCATCAGCATCATCAACATCATCATCCTCACCATCATCAGCATCAGCAGCCGCATCATCTGTTAGCACAATAAGCAGGTGTACAAAGCCACACGGCTTGGCGACAAGTGCTCGATCGTCACATGCTTCCACCAGGCAGTCGGGTCATCAGCAGGAGTCCCTCTCTGCCTCGTCCATCTTGGCGGAGAGGCCGGACGGGCGGCAGGGCGCTCAGCCCCAGCCGCCACGCTCCCCACAGGAGTGTTCGCCGGCATCCTCCTCCTCCTCCTCCTCCTCCTCCTCATCCTCCATCTCCTCCTCCATCTCCTCGCTCGCCTCCCTCCACCTCCCTCTCATACCTCTCCTCCCTCTCATCCTCCTTCTCCCCCTCCCTTCTCCTCCTCCTCTCCCTCCTCTCCTTCCTCTCCTCCCTCCCCTCTCTCTCCTCCCTCTCCTCCTCCTCCCCCTCCACCCCTCCCCCTCATCCTCCTCCTCCTCCTCCCTCCTTCCTCCTCCTCCTCCTCCTCCTCCTCCTCCTCCTCCTCATCCTCATCCTCAGCCTCCGGCCTCCGCCTCCTCCTCCACCTCCACCTCCACTCTCCTCCTCCTCCTCCCCTCCTCCTCCTCCTCCGCCTCCTCCGCCTTCCGCCTCCGCCTCCGCCTCCGCCTCCGCCTCCGCTCCCCCTCCTCCTCCTCCTCCTCCTCTTCCTCCTCCTCCTCCTCCCCTCCTCCTCCTCCTCCTCCTCCTCCTCCTCCTCCTCCTCCTCCTCATCATCATCATCATCATCAGCATCATCATCATCATCAGCAGCATCAGCATCAGCAACAGAATCAGCATCAGCATTAGCATTAGCATCATCATCATCAGCAGCATCATCATCATCATCATCATCCTCATCACCACCATCATCACCATCATAACCATCATCATCATCATCAGCAGCATCATCATCACCACCACCACCACCATCGTCATCCTCATCATCATCATCATCATCATCATCAGCATCATCACCATCATCATCACCATCAGCATCATCAACGTCATCATCATAAGCATCATCATCATCATCGTCATCAGCATCATCATCATCAGCATCATCAACATCTTCATGAGCATCGTCATCAGCATCATCATCCTCATCATCAGCAGCATCATCATCATCAACATTATCATCGTCATCATCATCAGCATCATCAGCTGCATCATCATCATCAGCAGCATCATCATCACCATCGTCATTATCTTCAGCATCAGCATCATCAGCATCATCAACATCATCATCATCATCATCAGCAGCAGCATCAGCATCATCATCATCAGCATCATCGTCAGCATCATCATCAGCATCATCATCTGCAGCAGCATCATCAGCATCAGCAGCATCACCATCGTCATCATTTTCAGCATCAGCATCATCATCATCAACATCATCATCATCATCATCATCAGCACCATCATCATCATCAGCATCATCATCAGCATCATCATCAGCATCATCATCATATGCAGCAGCAGCATCATCATCAGCATCATCATCCCCCTCCTCCGCCTCCGCCTCATCCTCCTTCTCCTGTTCCTCCTCCTCCTCTACCTCCTCCTCCTCCTCCTTCTCCTCCTCCTCCTCCTCCTCCCCCTCCATCCTCTCTTCCCCCTCCTCCTCATCATCATCATCCTTCCCGCTGCCACCGCCGCGTCAGGGAGGATGAGGCACGAACGACCGAACGAGGCGCGAGTCGACCCTGCCAGGGGACAGGCCGGCTAGCAACCCGCGCGGGGCGGCCGTGGCCGCTCACTCCATGAG